AATATATTTTTTACACACAGAACTACAGTGAATTCTGTTGCCTCTGTTCTTTTTTTATTATAGAGAAGGGAGGCCATGATATTGCACATTATTTTATTATTAACCTAGTTTAATCTGGGGCTCCTTTGACCATCCTGGAATTAAGATGCATCGTCTGCCTCTGCAAAAGCATCACACTGAAGTTCCTCTTACATCTTTTGCTGCGGAAGAAACATGCAACGGAAAACATAGGACACAAATTGAGAATTGCATAGAGAAAGAAAAGTTCCCTGCTCTCAGCAAGAGACTTTTTCAGACTAGCAATAGGCGATACACAAGACTCTTCATCATTTAGACAAGCGGCGGGTACTTTATCATGTCCATGTTCCCAACTCTTCAGCATGCAGAATCCTTCTTCCTTTCCCTATAGATAAGGAGGTGGGATTAAGAGCACAGAGGAAAAGCCCTGATCTCGCAGAGAGCAGTGGGAAGAAAGGGCCAAGTTACACACTTTAACCCTGGGATTACAGAGACCGCTCCATGCAGACATCCCCAAAAAGGAAGGCACAAACAGAGCAAATGTGTGTTCTCTAGCCAGGACCCCAGCAGTTGGTCCCCCCAAGTGATGACAGAAGCATGCTGGCTAACACACAGGGAAGCCTTCCGTTCTAGCAAGCAGCACATTTGGGCACCAGACGATGGATCTGGGAAAGTCTTGGGTGCACACCTCCGCACCAGACCGTCCACCGCCTGTAAAATGGGTCCAAGGAGCAAGGGCGCTAAGAAGACAGGCACAGAGTGACCTGGCAAAATCTTATCCCAGCAAGTCATAACAGCAGGTTTATCGAGGGGGCCGTTCCAGGTCACCAACCCACTGTGGCACTGCCTCCTCCCCGATCATCCCCACCCCACCTCAGCATCCTCAGCTAAAGCCAGGGCAAACTGGGGGGGAGGGGAGGAGGCGGCTCTACCTCACACAGGCTTCCCCTGTGGCCTGGGATGCTCCCCTGGGGTCCAAGGCAGGGCTTAGGGAGGGAAGGACCCAGAGGGGGGAGGAACCTTCTGGCCAAGTTCTGCCTGGAGCGGTGGGCCGTTCTTTTGTCCTGCAGCCTTAATGCTCCTTTGCCACCTCTCCCCACCTCCATGCACCCAGGCGCTCCTTTTCACCTCGCCAAACCCATGGGCGAAAGAGGGCGGCCATCGCGGTGACCCAGGACTGCTAGACAAAACTACACATGCCTTTGTTTGATAAAGACATTCCCCGTTAAGGAAGCT